ATTTAAGGCCTCTATGTAAACTTTTAAGATTCTGGAGGGTAGGTACAGAGAGCTGTTTATCTTACAACTGCCCAGAACGAGCCTCCTATGTCAATTCCCCTGCTTATGAAACCTGTCACCTACCGATCTGGATTGGCCTGCCTCTTCTGTCTCCCCCTGCATTTCATGCACAGCACTAGTTTGCAAACCAACAAGTATGCTATTGTTGAGAAGTCACAGGTGCTTAGAGAACCTATTCTAGAAAGTCAGGAAGAAGTGGGACCTGAAAGAGGGCTAGGAGTTAGCAAGGTGATTGGGTCATGGGGTGGGATGGAGAAGAGATTAATAGGAGAAAAGGCTCAAGAAGAAGAAAGATCACGATAGATTCATAGAAATTAAAGGAAACTGTCAGCAAGTCATTCGTTCATTCACTGAATACTGGGGAAGGACCAAATAATGCCTGGTGCTGGTCTAGACACTGGAAATACACCTCAGTAAACAAAAGAAACAAAAATCTCTGGCCTAACAGAGCATACATTTTAGAAGGAAGTAGCTTAAAAAGTTAAACATACCATGTGTCAGATGTTAAGTTCTTTGCAGATAGGAAAAAGAGTGGAGGGTAACATAAAACAGTGTGGTAGGATGCAGCAGGAGGTGCAGTTTTAAAAAGGGAATCAGGCTTCATTAATACAATAGCATTGTTACAAAGACCTGATCTAAGGGAGGGAGCATATCATACAGAGAGGTGAGTAAGAGCAAGTGAGGCTCAGTAACAGGAGCATGATTTCATGCAAGACTCTGAGGGAGGCCAGTGTGGCTGGAGCAGAGGACTTGATGGAAAAAGAGTTGATGAAAAGCAGAGTCACAGGGAAGGGAAAGGGAGCAAAATTATGCGATGTCTAGTAGACAATTAATAGGGCAATGGCTTTGCTCTAGGAGAAATGGAAAGCCACCGGAAGCTTGGAGCCCAGTGATAATGTGATCTCATGTAAGTTCTGAGAGGATCAGAACTGGGTTGAAAATAGACTGTAGAGGGGCAAAGCCTTAAGGGGGTGTGAGAGGGAAGCAGCTTCATGTGATGTGGTTAGAGCGGCAGGCTGGGTCAAACCACAGGGGAGCTTGTAATCCAATTGGTTTTAAACTTTAACATAGAGATGATGGGAAGTCATCAAAGTTTTTTCAGCAGGGAGATATAATGAAGAGATTTCTGTGTTCAAAACTGCACTATTCAGTGTGGTAGCTCATAGCCGCATATGAAGTGAGTAGGCATTTGAAATCCGGTTAGTTTGAATTGAAATGTCCAGTGAATGTAAGATACATATCGAATTAATTAGTACAAAATATTTAGTACAAAAACCCCAAATAATGTAAAATATTTCAAGAGCTAGTTTATATGTTGAAAAGATAATATTTTGGTTATATTATGTTAAATAAAATATTTTATTAAAGGGGCCCCTGAGTGGCTCAGTGGGTTAAGGCTCTGCCTTCGGCCTAAGTCATGATCTCAGGGTCTTGGGATTGAGCCCTGCATTGGGCTCTCTGCTCAGCAGGGTGCCTGCTTCCCTCTCTTTCTCTCTCTCTGCCTGCCTTTCTGCCTACTTGTGATCTCTCTGTCAAATTAATAAAATATATATATATATATACATGTACATATATATAATTAAAATTAATTTCATCTCTTTTTAATTTTTTAATGTGGCTCCTACAAAAATTGAAATGACATATATATATATAATTATATATATATTAGTTTTAGTACTGTCCTATATATAGTACATATATACTTCTCTCTCTATATATATATATATAGAAAGATATAGAGATGTATATATAGATATATATAGATATATAATAATTATATATAGATATATATAGATATATAATAATTATATATATATATTAGTTTTTAGTACTATTGGACAGAGCTGGTTTAGAAGATACTCCTGTTTATAGAATAAAGTAGGCAAGATTGGGTGCTGAGACCATTTAGCAGCCTGGTCTCTAGAACGGTTTGAATATCACTAAGCTATTCTAAGTATTTTAAGAGCTGCTTTAAGCACTCTAAAATTCTAAAAGAAGGTGAAATATTAGCTGAAAACACTTCAGATAAAAAATTATTTAAATTTTTGTTTTTTAGTTACCAGAGAAAATAAAAGTTGACAGTGTTTTGCTGCACAAAATGAAGTTATTGGCAGGCTACTTTACATGCTAAACAGTGTTTATGACTGAGATTTGAACGACTGATAACAGAAAGGAGTCAATATTTACAGCTCTTGTTTATGGGTCTTATAGGTTTTATATCTGCACATATGATAAACTTTAGTATAGTCCTATTCACATTCCTAATTAATTTATTTCAAAAGGTCGTTATAATATTTAAATTATATTTTAAATAATATTGGAATATGCAGAATGCAAGTTCCCCATTTAAATTTGCACATTCTCTATAAACTGTGTGGCTTATTAGATTTATAAATATTGTAATAGATGAGCTCAAGACATGATTAAATTTCTAGTTGAGTTCAACATTTAGAATTACTTGCCAAAGTATTATAAATGTATTCTATGGAATATAATTAGTTATTTTAAACTTCATAATTAAGTAGAAGATAATTACTTAATTGACAAAATATATGTTATATTTAGTAAATATTTTATAACACATTGTCTTTTAACTACTATAGCATAAGATTAAATTTAGAAATTTATGTATTTTTTAAAGAATATTTTATTTGTGAAAATTTTAGGGGTTGAGTATATATTATTTATGTACTCTGAATTTTGACAGGCTTAAAGAGCTATTTGATGATACAGTGTTTTTACTAATTAGTCATATAATATTAATTAATTTATCAGCAAGTTAAAGAGACTGGTTGATAGTTATGTATCACCACTAATAGCTTCATTGATAGTAAATAACCAGGTTTTTAAAAGTAATTTTTCTGTGCAGAATTGATTATAACTTCTCTTGAATTACTAGGTCATTTATATAAAGCATTATTTTTTCAGTTTAATTTAATTTTTTTTTTCAGTGATCCAAAATTCATTGTTTATGCATCACACCCAGCACTCCATAGAATACATGCCCTCCATAATGCCCACCACCAGGCTCACCGAACTCCCCACACCCCTCCCCTCCAAAACCCTCAGTTTGTTTCTCAGAGTCCACAGTCTCTCATGGTTTGTCTCCCCCTCCAATTTCCCCCAATTCACTTCTCCTCTCCCTCTCCCCATGTCCTCTGTGTTATTCCTTATGCTCCACAAGTAAGTGAAACCATATGATAATTGACTCTCTCTGCTTGACTTATTTCACTCAGCATAATCTCTTCCAGTCCCGTCCATGTTGGTACAAAAGTTGGGTATTCATATAAAGCATTATTATAAAAGCAAATGGTCAGAAATAACCCAGTCATTGCATGTGTCTACATGCACATGTGTATGTGTTTGTGCATTTGTGCATATATGTGCACACACCTCTTATAGTTTACGCCTCCTAGAGGCTGAGTCAGTGGTACATAGTATACTACTGGTATCAATCATATTGCAGTCAATTAGAGCTGTAGGAACATATATTAAAATATGTACCTAGGAAAAGACAAATAGTTATTTTATTGGGACTCATTTAATTAAGATTCCAATTTCCCTTAAAATTTCTTTCTTTCCTGCATATATAATCAGGAGACTTATCAGGAGATTATTCTTTATTATTGTTAGTTATTGTATATTTTTAAATAGAGCATTTTGAGGGGGCACCCGGGTGGCTCAATCAGTTAAGTGTCTACCTTCGGCTCAGGTCATGATCCCAGGGTCCAGAGATCAAGTCCCGTATCGGGCTCCCTGCTCACTGGGGACCTGCTTCTCTCTCTTTTCCCTGCTCGTGCTCTCTCTCACTATCTGTGTCTCTCTCTCAGATAAATAATAAATAAAATCTTTTAAAAAATGGAGCATTTTGTGAAAATGTGTTAGATTAAAAGAAGTAGTTTGTTAAAACACTTTTAACATAATGTATGTTACTGGAAAATTATTCTACTTTTATTTTGTATATGTGTTAATTTAGAAAATGGTCAGTGGTGGTTTTTGAGACTAGAAACAACTACCCCCTCAACATTTAAGACCTTGAATGCATATTTAGCATAGGATCATTTTTTGTAGATCTTCCATTCCTGTGAAAAGATTTCCTAAGAATGACAACATGGGTTTAAGCAAAGAGAAAATGCGGCCTAATAAAATATATCATCATATAACTTTTATTATTTACATTTTATTTTCATGATTTTTTGTGAAAATTTGGTTGTTTACAATTTTCATGGTTCTTGCCATATACAATTTTCATGATTCTTGCCAATAAGCATATATATATATATCTTATTTACTTAATATTCTGTCTATGTACTTTTGAAATCAATTCAAAATTTTAAATGAATGTGTTTCAATATAATAAACAGAAAAAATTGCCATAAAAATAAAAATAAACTGATTTAAAAAAAGCAATGTTATCAAACTATAGGTAGATCTTGCTAAAATCTCTGAACCTAAGGCTAACTTACATTTTGTTAAAAAAAAAAAAAATTCACCAATAGGACAGATGTTAAGGTATACCAGCACCACACTGGGACTTTCTCCTTTAGTTCTTAGAAGGACTGAGGGAAAAATGGAATGCAAATATATTTTACACAGTGTGATTCAATGTTATTTAATGCTATCTCCTAGAACTACACAAAATCATTTCTCTTACTTCCGGGGAGGGGCATCTCCACACTCTGGTAATCAGCTATTTTGTGTATGCATATTTCAGGTATGCTATCCAAAATTAGCAACCTGAGCCTAAATATGACGTCACCATTATGTTACTGATTTTGAATAACTAATTTCATTAATATTAACATATATTGACTTTTCTGTATATGTGTGACACTGAACTCTGAGATCAAAATGTGTATCAATTAAAATATGTTGTATGTGTACAAGTAAAATAACGCAAGCAATAATAGCAATAAAAGTATTTTTTCCTGTTTTTACAGCTTGCAGACCAGGATTCTATAAAGCATTTGCTGGGAACACAAAATGTTCTAAATGCCCTCCCCACAGTTTAACCTATAAAGAAGCAACTTCTATCTGTCAGTGTGAAAAGGGTTACTTCCGAGCTGAAAAAGACCCACCTTCCATGGCATGTACCAGTAAGTCTCTGCATTTTGCATTTGTAAACCCTGTTTTCAACCCTTTGGTCTCTTTATTCTAAATTGCTTTAAAAAGTAAATATGCAAAATTCTGTGGCAACCATGTATTTGACTTTGAAAACAGTGAAGAAAAAAGTTTCTCTTTCTCTCAACATAGTTACTTTTCATCTGCTTGCAAAGGAAGTGCCTATTCTTCAAAATTCAGGTTTATTCAGGAGATTAAAATCTCAGCACTGGTGTGAGGCCCTGGAAATTTTTCCGAACCATAATCTGTCCTTAGGAAGTTAAAGCAGTTTAAGGCTACCTAAGAATTTATAAATAAAACTTGTTCTTTGCTTCACCCTTGTCCATTTTAAGGCACATCAATTTAGGAACACCAAGTTTAGTGTGGGGGAGCTTCCAGATGGAACTTTAAAAGTCATTGTGCTGTTGTTTTGCAGAAAAAGTTCTAGTTTTCCTTGACATTTGTCTTTAAAGGAAAGTGTTTTTGAGTTTGTCCGCATTTCACCTTTCACTTTCCAACTTTTGGGTTGGAATCAGTAGATATTAAATTTAAATGTGAAGGTCATTTAAATGCATGCATCAAGAATTATAAATTATTTGTACTCTTTTATTATAAAATACTATGAATTATCCGTACATTTAAAAAGTAAAAGTGAATCTATTAATGCATTGCTAAGCTATGCAAAAGTAAAATGTCACCTCTTAGGTAGCTATAAAATTCTTGTTAATACATAAATAATATACTACAGTGAAAATTTGCCCTTCTGTTTGATGAATTAGTGCCAAACTATTGCTTGTCTTCTGTAATTCCATAAAGGCAAAAACAGATTGAGAGTTATGTAATGTTGCATATTCCTTAGAAACAATGGTGATATCCCATTTCTTGTAAATGATGCAGCCTATAGATTTATCTTCGTTACTACAGACTTTAATATAAAATATTTTTATAGAATACGATTAATAAAAATGCAACACATTCATTAGTAGATGTAACTTTTGTTTTCTGATTGTAAATGCTGAGTGACCATTTTCTTCAGAAAGTTCCAGCCTGGGAAATTACTAGCTGGCATTTTTTTTCATTGGGAACATATTTTAAGTTAATAAATAGAAAAGGAAATTTTGAAATATAATTTCTCACCTAATTATGTAGAGTTTTTAACAGGAAAACCTTGCTGTTACCACATATATGTAATCCTTCTTCAATGGTTACTATATACTATTATATTACACTGTGAACAGCTTACTCCAGTTCAGGTAAATGGTGGTATTTCAAATGGCTACAGTACTGCTAGGAAAGTATTTCTCAAAATCTGTATCAGAAACTGAGTGCAACTTCTGAAGTAAGTGACCAGGAATTTTTCTTTTTATTTTCTTAGGTGGCCATAAATAGACAATTGACAAATTGAAGGAATAAATTGGTTCCCATCAATCTAGCCCTTCAGTGACGTAGCAGGGTAGGCATGCAGTTCTTTGGAGTGAGGGTCTGGTTAAGGAAATAAATAGTGAATGTAACAAAGTCCACAAACCTGATAAACTAGTCAGTCATTGAATCAGATATGTGTATTTATCAGCTTAATGTTTTATGTTTTTTGGATTCTTCTTTCCTCTAAAAAAAATTCCTTTTTTATACTTCGTATTATAAATTATGTTTTTTTTTATCTTTTCTGTTTTAATTTTATTTTAATCAATATATATAATTTACCAGGGAACTCTAACTTTCTCTCTGGCCTTTCACCATCTTTATTAATCTCTTGTTCATGGCTGATTTTTATTTTAATTCCAGTATAGTTCACATACAGTGTTATATTAGTTGCAGGTGCACAATATGTTGACTCAACAATTCCACACATCATCCCATGCTCATCACTAGCCTGCAGCTGTACTAAACAGAGGCAGAGAAAGTTTTGATTCTGATCATTGTTGGGCAGTTTTAGGCAGAAAATAGCATATTGTGTTGCCATCAAATACTGAAAGATAAAACCCTCCTTAAAAAAAAAGGTGAAAACTTTAGTGAGATCTCCCTAGTCCAGCCTCAGGAGGTCCCCCTCTCAAGGTTTTTCTGTGCTACTTTCTTAAGAACTTCTGTCGTGTTTTAACAAAACTTACCATAGTGTATTGTAAGTTAACCATCTTTTAGAGTCAAATTATTTGAGTACGAGTTTTGGTGTTAGTGCTTAATAGCTATGTAACTTTGGGCAAATTGTTTGACCTCTCTCAGCCTCAGTTAACCCATACATAGTGATAATAACAGCATATATCTCATTCTGTAGCTACTATGATTAAATAAATTAATTTTTGAAAAGTTCCAAGAACAATACCTATCACATAGTAGGTGCTACATAAATGTTTGTTTACCACAGAAAGCTATTCTCCTGTGATTCATTTTGAAATGGTTTTTGATCAGCAGGTATTCAAACTGTTATAACTTTTGGGGGGAGTTAAATTGAATTTTTGATTGATTGGTTGATTGATTTGAGAGAAAGACAGAGATAGCAAGAAAGAGCACACATGCGACAGAGCACAAGCAGAGAGGAGAGGACCCTGGGATCATGTCCTGAACCTAAGGGAGACGCTTAACTGACTGAGCCCCCCCAGGCACCCCCACTTTATGGTTGATACTTCTATAGTGAGCTCATGGCTCCCATCATCTATGTTCTTATAAACTGAAAAAAATAATATACTTAATTATTTACATTTTCACAAAGTATTTTAAGTCTTGCACTTCTATTGCCTGAGATGAGGTTTTCCAAATTATACTCTGACTAGGGTGAGGGACCCTAGCAGTTATTATAAAATGCAGAAAAAGTAAGGACCATAAACTCCAAAGTATCATTGCCCCTAAAAATTAGAAAATAAGATGATTGGGAGAGAAAAATCAGAAAAGTTACAAGTGAGGAGGTCACTGAATGATTAGACTTAAAAGGACCAGGGTAACTTCACTGGGATAATAGAACTTTTGAGGTCAAGAATCAAACAAGCAGTCAGTCTTTTCTGTCTTTCATTAACCACAAATAAGTGTCAAATTGTAATAGATAATATGCTCTCTTAACTTCTAGACGATGTATCTATGAATTAGCCATTCTTTATCACCTTTGTTCCAATAGTGTGTTATCTAAAGCTCAGAATCTGGGTCAGTTAGCAGTCAGTGCTACCACTTCCTGGTGGTTTTGTCAGTCTTAACATTTTGAAACTGCTTTCAGAGAATCTTCCAGGAATTTAAAAAGAGGTAGTTTCTTTCCTTAATATCAGGGGCAGAGAGATTTTGAATGTATGAGTTTAAAAGAAAGTGAAGGACTAAAATATCAAAATTGACAAACCAGGACATTTGACTAGTCAATGGCCTAGCAGGGAAAGATTTTATTTTTGGGATAGAATGTGATCATATAATTGATACGATTTTAAGGACCACAAGAATCTTCCCCTGCTTCTTAGTGCCATCATCAAAATAATAATAAACACCCTTAAAAATATAATTTTACTATTAAGAGTTTTATGATTTCTTTGGGTTTTCACTGTTAAGATAGGTATCTTTTTATTTTATAATCTTGAAATACATCATATATAAGATTTATTCACATAAAAATCTTTATTAAGATTTTATTCTTTTAGAGCAGTTTGAGATTCACAAACAAAATCAAGAGAAAATACAGAAAAGTTCCATATACCTCCTTGCTCCCTGATATGCACAGCTTCCCCAGTTATTAACATTCCCCATTCGAGTGGTACTTTTGTACAACTGATGAATCTGCATTTGCATGTCACAATCACTTAAATTCCACAGTTTACACTGGGGTTCACTCTAATTAGAATGGTTCACACCCCATTCTGTGGGTTTGTATAGGGCATGTATCCATCATTATAGCATCATACAGAGTATTTTCACTCCCCTGGAACTCCTCTGTGCCCTACTAATCTCTGCCAACCACTTATCTTTTTACTGTCTCCATACTCTTGCCTTTTACAGAATGTCATATAGTTGGAATCCTGAAGTATACAGACTTTCAGATTGGCTTCTTTCACTTAGTAATATGCATTTAAGATTACTCCGTGTCTTTTCATGGCTGGATAGCTCATTTCTTTTTAGTGCTGAATAATATTCTATTGTCTGTATGTACCGCAGCTTACTTATCTATTTACCTATTGAAGGACAACTTGAGTGCTTCCCAGTTTTGACAGGAATAAGCTGCTATAAACATGCATGTGTAGATTTCGTATGGACATAAGTTTTCAATTCTTTTGGGTAGGTACCAAGGAGGATGATTACTGGATCATACAGTAAAAGTATGTTTAATTTTGTTAAGAAACTACCATTTTGCATTCCCACCAATAAAGAACGAGAGTTCCTATTGCTCCACATCCTCACCATCATTTGGTGTTGTCAGTGTTCTGGACTTTGGTCCTTTCTAATAGGTGTATAGTAGAATCTCATTGTTTTAATTTGTATTTCCCTGATGACATGTGATGTGGAGTGTCTTTTCACATGCTTATTGCCATCTATCTTCTTTGGAGAGGTGTCCACATAAACACTTTTAGGCTTCTAAGATAGCTACAATTTAAAAAAAAAAAAAAAAAAAAAAAAAAAAGATGCTTCATATTCAAAGCTATTCTCTCTAGTAGTGGTGGGCGAGAGGGTGACCTGATCTTCAACCTTCTATTGGGCCTGCCTCTTGTTAGTTTACTTTCCTGACATTTTTGTTTCTACTAACTTCTTCCTCACAACCTATAGGTATACCCAAACTTCTATTGTTAAAAGAATACTCCAAGTTCAATATTTATTCTCTCCCCTTTCCCCCAAATAATCTTGGAAAAGCAATCTTTATTGGCTATGCTTCCTTCTTTATTTTTTTTAACTTTTACTTTTTTTTAACTTTTTACTCTACTATATTCAGATTTTTGCTCTTCACTCTGAGTCATCAGAATTTTCCCCTACCAAAGTAAACTGTCAGAAAAATTCACCAATGATCTTTGCCATTTTGTGTTAGAAATATTTTTGTACA